AAATGTATGTCTAGTGCTTTCAGGTTATCATTGATTGTCTAACATATATAGGACCGTAATCTCAATAAAAAATTGAGAAAGTACTTAGAATCAAGAAGCATTAAATAAATATTTAGTACCAGTAATAACCAATCAAAACATGTAGAATTATCAACAACGTTAATAAATAATGATCTCAACATATTATAAATTGAATGAGATTGAAGATTTGAATATTTGGGTGAAAACTTACTGTGAAATAACTCTACGCTTCTCATAGTAGCTAAAGATCTAATATCAAAAACATGACGTTTTAAATCGTGAATCATATTTCAAAGAGGTATATTATTTCCTTTAGACATACACAAATACACTTTACTACTGATAAATAATTAGTACCAAAACGATCCTAGATTTTCTATTGTTCTTTTAAAATCTACCTTATATATCCTGAATTTTAGTTTATTGTACGAAATACTTTTTTTGTTTTTTATTTTTTTTTAATAATTCAATCTAAATTTTTGTTCAAATCGAAATATTATTGCTTAAAACAAGTAGGTTAGATCAATGGGCCTAATTTCAAGGGATCTAGACTAAATGTGTATGTATGTACTTTCGATTATTTGTCAGAAAAAACAAACAAACAAACTGTTACACTTCATTAGAAAAATGAATTAATCGAAACCTTTTTTAGAAATCGAAAAAAATATCTACAGTCTACGAATTATGAATTATTTTACATGGAAAAAAAATCAATTGAAGTAATATACCTTTTTAATTAGTATCTCTAACAAAACCAAAATGATCAGTATGGGGTTGTGCTCACTAGTGACTAACTTTGTGAGGGGATTCTCGGAGTTCTGTTGAGTAAACCGAGACCAGTGGAGTTATTCCCATGTTGGGTAGAGACAGGTATGTACTTCAGTACAATGGAAGATGGTCCCTCAATTTCGTGGATTAGTTGAGGTTCAATATTAACACCGTTGGATGCTAGCCGGCTCAGTGGTCAATTAGGTTAGGCGTTCGCGCGCGAGGCTGAAGGCCCCAGGTTCGAATCCCACGAGTGGGATCGCGGATGCGCACTACTGAGGAGTTCCACAATAGAATGAGACGGCCGTCCAGCGTTTCCAGGTTTTCAATTGTGGTCTAACATCAATCGGTTCAAGATCTCAATCAAAAGCCAATACTGATTGCATCATCAACTTCGTTTTATTTATTTTTTCGTTTCGTAATATTACTTACTTACTTATTTACGCCTGTTACCCATTGTGGAGGTGCATAGGCCACCCGTTCAGGATTTTTCATCCCCATATATTAGTACGTAATGGACACTAAAATAAACTTAAGGAGAGGAGCGCATAAGAGTTTATTCATTACAAACGTTTATGTAATTTTGAAATTAAGGAGTTGAACATGAACATTGATTGTAATTTACAGAATCAATCATACGTATATCATCAATAAAACTGATGCAAGGATGATTACACAATTAAATTATTAAGATGAATGGATCATATAAAATGAAAAAAAGCAATAAAATTTATAAATTCGTGAGAAATGCGATAACTAAGATGAAGAATAAGGTTTTAGCAAACTAATAGGATGTATAGACATTTTTCTGTACCTGAATCTTGGGTCTATCGATGTGCACTTTTATGGTTTCGGCTATATGTAGATGACAATATCTGGAATTGTAATAGAAGTTAGATGCTAAATGTAGCAAAACTGATCGTCTTTCGGTCATTCGGTCAGCCTTGAGGGGTAATGTCTAAAAACACATTGATGTAGTTGGCTGGTTGTATGCTCAAGAGTCTAGGTAAAATCTTTTACTCATCGATTTTAATTGTTGACCTGTGGTATATTTTATAACTTACAATCGATGATGATGACGATGAATATCAACTCGAACTGACTGGAAGTCAGATACACAATAACAATTTAACGTTTCACTCCCAACCTTGAAAATATCAGCTAACCCAATAACTCAATCAGTTAAATTGTGTAAATCAAGTCAAATTGTATGGTGTTATCTCAGATTGGACTGGTAGTACTGGACAAACCGATTTTGATGTATCACTTTGAGACCAGAATAATAAATAGTCTAATTCAAACGCCAACGTATTATCTACTGAGTTACTGTGTTCAGATATCTGCTAAGGTGTTTAACAGGTATGATGTTCATGTCATTATTACACGCTGGCATTTGAATCAAAAGGTACTGAGATGGAGATGCAATGCGAACATTAAGAGTAGGATGTAGCTAAAACTATCTAACTAATATCATATTAAATGATATGTTTATTTTCGGATTCCTCCGACATATACAATCTTCCCATTCCATAAAATTTATCACAATATGAATAAATAGGTGTAATCCACACACGATGCATATATACTAACAAAGACTGATCAAAATTGAGTCCTGAATATTTATAACAAGATAACTTAAATCCGTACCAAAAAGGCGGCGGCCTGCTTGAATATCTGGGCTACCTGTTTCTGCCGTCAAATTATTTCAACAAGTCATCTGTTTTTTATTTTGTTTTAAGGTCTCATTATGTCCATTAATCGCATAACTTATACAGGCGCGTTTATGAAAAGCCTACGACCATTCGCTGCACAAGTTACAAAAAAGCACTATAAAAGACATCGTGTTGGTTGGCAATAAGCGTTAAAGAGAATGAACATTAATCGCATGTCGATTCCCCAGCTGATAAACTCTAACCGCCGATCACTAATCAACAAAGTGGACTATCTTCAATTCCTATTAAGTCAAAATATGTATCGTAATTGTGGTGTCATCACAAGTCAAGAATCTTGGCTTTTGAGAAAAGACTTTGTTGTATAGCGCAGAGTGTTAAAGGCGGTTAGCAAGGTGTGTGGTGAATCTTTCGAGATCATGATTATTATGGTTGTGGCTAGACATGCGAACTCGTGGCAGGTGTCATTTTATCAGATACTAACCATCCCCTTCACTCATATCTTTCTCCTTGTATATCTTCTGGTAGAACGAGATGTAATTACATTAGAATCCATGCATGCAAGCAAAAGCATAAAAGTTCTATAATACCTTACCTAGCAACTATACTCTGTGGCAAACAGGTTGTTAGAGTTAACCTGGTCAATAACCTGCATTCATAACATGTCTCTAATTTGAAATGTTATACAGTTTTTCAAATTTTTTCAAATCCTTTTTTCCCTTTTTTGTCTTTGTTTCTGTTTTTCGTGTGTGTGTGTGTGTGTTTAAGAAACTTGTTGAAACATACTGTGCTGAGAATTCTATATTGTACCAAAATATAATATTAAATAAAGCCATTAATAATAATAATAATAATAATAATAATAATAATAATAATAATAATAAATCTGTAAATATAAGTAGCTCGAATCTGTTTAGCAGCTTTAATTTACAAGTGAAGTCTCAATCAAACGACTCACGTACTTAACATTATAAACTGGAGTTATTATTATTTGTTTGTTTTTTACCGTTATTTATTCTCAGTATATTGAGAGGATTTTCATTGATGAAACAACTCATAATTACCTAATAATACATGTTATTGATAAATGTGTCCACACAGATAATGTACAAACACATGTTATCTGAAAGTATATGTCTCTATTTAATTAAGTTCCTACAGGGATAACTAAATGAAAAGAGTATGTGTATATACTTATGATATATATATATATATATATATATATATATATATATATATATATATATATATTCTCTTCGACTTTTCTCTACACCTCCGCATTTGTAACCGCTGCCTGTCCTATACTATTTTGTTGAGTTTCACTATTTAAACTTAGCTAGAGAGACAGAGTGGGAGAAACGATATATAGATAGATAATTAACTCTTTTGTTTGTCCAACTAGCTTTCTAAAAATAATGCTAATAATAACGATATGACTTGATTTTATACTTTAAGCAGTATATCTTTAAAGTTAATTTAGTGAAATTCACTCATTCATTATTTCACAATTGTAATACATACTCTTAATTTATTGTGGTGAGTGTTACTTCCCCGTTCAAAATTGTATTGTATGAATTAAATAGACCTGAGGGTAATCAAGTTTTATACAAAGATTAATAAAAGTGAGATATTTAGCATTTTCGACTATTTCTCCGTCGTCATATAAGAGTGTGGTTTTCTCTAGGGATTTCATCTCAGTCATCCAAAGCTGTTTAAATACATGTTCTATGAACGCATCACTGTAGCACATCTCAACTTGACTGATGAAAAAAAAGTTAGAGCTTCAAATGAAATTCCCAGTCAATATTATGCTATTTTATGGAGCACTCAACCGTTAAATGAACGGAAATGTGCCCGGAAATAGTTGGTAGCGCACACATACTGAACATGGAAGGACAAATGTGCTACGAATTCACTGATCTCATTAAACAAACAGTTTTTGCTAATGTTCTCGTCTTTATTTTTACTTTCTACTATTATAACTACTATTACTAAGATGGTGGTCGGAGGTAGTCGACAGGAAATTCTAAATCTAGTTTTCATGCTATTCAGCATTCGTCAACAAGGATTCGATCTACACTAAGAATGATCTGACACACATGACATTGATCACCATTTAGTGATCAATCAGTTGTAACTACTTCTATTAATACTGATAAGCTAAATAAAATATGAGAATGTGTTTTTTAATTGTTTTAAAATGATCAGTTTTTGTTGTTGTTTAAATTAAGCAAAAATAAAAGTATTTGCAGAATACAATGCCATAGTTTAAATTTATGAAAGGGAACCAACTAATTTAAAATGATCAATAATTATTTTTTTTAAATTGTAGGCTAGGTAATCATAATTAGATATTTTATAAATGAATGCACCGAATACTACGAATGGAATATTGATTGGTAAGTTTGAAATTATTGATCGGTGAAGTAATCGTTATAGTAATCGGCATAGAATAATGAATCGATAATTATCAACTGTAAAGATATTTTTATTATATAACATGCGAAGATAAATGCACTAATGAGTTGTGAATCATACACATTAAAATAGATGGGGCAATAGATGATATAAAAGAATTTTCAAAATCTCGATCATTATTGCATTTACAAACAAAAAACAACCTAATAAATAGATGAATTTCTGAAAGAAAAAAGCAAACACCAGCGTCATTTGATCATCATCATCATCATCATCATCATCATCATCATCATCATCATCATCATCATCATCATCATCATCATCATCATCATCATCATCATCATCATCATCATCATCATCATCATCATCATCATCATCATCATCATCATCATCATCATCATCATCATCATCATCATCATCATCATCATCATCATCATCATCATCATCATCATCATCATCATCATCATCATCATCATCATCATCATCATCATCATCATCATCATCATCATCATCATCATCATCATCATCATCATCATCATCATCATCATCATCATCATCATCATCATCATCATCATCATCATCATCATCATCATCATCATCATCATCATCATCATCATCATCATCATCATCATCATCATCATCATCATCATCATCATCATCATCATCATCATCATCATCATCATCATCATCATCATCATCATCATCATCATCATCATCATCATCATCATCATCATCATCATCATCATCATCATCATCATCATCATCATCATCATCATCATCATCATCATCATCATCATCATCATCATCATCATCATCATCATCATCATCATCATCATCATCATCATCATCATCATCATCATCATCATCATCATCATCATCATCATCATCATCATCATCATCATCATCATCATCATCATCATCATCATCATCATCATCATCATCATCATCATCATCATCATCATCATCATCATCATCATCATCATCATCATCATCATCATCATCATCATCATCATCATCATCATCATCATCATCATCATCATCATCATCATCATCATCATCATCATCATCATCATCATCATCATCATCATCATTATCATCAATCATTATTATTATTATTATTATTATTATTATTATTATTATTATCTGACTGATTAGAACTGTTCTAGGTTAAGTTATCATTCAAAAGAAGTGGTGTGTTTTGACTTATTTGTCATATCGAAGGTCGAATTACACCAAACCCTTGATTTATTTCATATTCATCACTATATTTAGCAACGTTTTTTAATACTACTGAGTCAATTACTCAGAAGTTATGTAGACCGACCAATTTACTTATTTGCAATCAGTAGATGGATTAAAGTGTATGGTGTAACGGAGCAAAGTATAAAAATAAACTGATAAAAAAATGAATTTTGTACTTTCGAAAGTTAATAAAGTTGACACACTCACTGGAAGACCCTAATACTTTAGGTTCCTTCTCTAGCACCGCAGTAATTGGTCATGGTTATGGAGTACTGAATGAGAAATAATTAGCTGGTCATCTCGTGATGGAGATCTTTTTTAAAAAACTATCTGATCTCCAAGATAAAAGTCAGGAAAGATGTCCAACAATATTTAAAGTCAATCAATTAATAGTAGATGTTGCTTTAGAAAATCGGTGATTTGTAAACTTTAATTCGTTTTGCTTAAGCTTTTATGTAACAAAGAAACATAGCATAATACGACTCAATTTGAATGATAAGTTAGCTTCAACTCCAAACGATCAGTCCTAAACAGCTGGTACATGTGTTGATCGGTTGAAATTATCATTCTATATCAGGACACGGATACAAAATTATCAAGACAAATGACACAGTAGTATCAGTGATAGTAGAAAATATTTGGAGCAAATAATATGATTTGAAAAGCGTGAATGAACAAAGCAATTTGATAATCAGTGCATATGAGAAGACAATGAATCAATGGATTTGAACCATATTACCTAATTTCTTCAACCGTTGGTTACAATAACCGTGTGAACTTCAACTAGGTAGTCAACATCCACCAACATGGATGACCTCATGGACCAATAACAAGTATTGGTTAAGTCCCCCTCTTTACTCTCTTGAATTAATCACCCAACATCCAGCGTAGAGACAGGCGTTGATAAAATGTAAAATCAGCATTCTTTGTTAAATTATATTGATTAGAAAAGCATAGAAAATCTAGGATATCAAGAAAAATACTTATTTCTCAACCAGAATATTTACATTCACTTGGTGTTGTTTTATTTGTATCTTGCCATTGTTATTTAGGACTGCGATTGATCAGTCTCACGTTGGCATATATGCATCCTATGCGGATTGCCCTGATATTGCTTTAAGTCACAAACGTTTTAAGCAAAAATGGATAGTGGAATCCAGGATGCGCGTTTCGTCCTATATTTACAATTCTAATATGCATGATGTCTAAGTATTTGTACTGTTGAAAAAATCTCGAACCATTAATAAATCAATTTTTGCAATACTGTTCTGTTTAATAAGATTATCTCATGTTTAATTTGGTAATGATCTTAATCTGTATTATTATTATTATTATTATTATTATTATTATTATTATTATTTTGATTATTTATCTCAACTGACCTTCCATTTTGTGTTTTTTTAACTGTTTCCCAATATTTAGTCCCAGTTTAGAATTGTTTTCTGAACTTATTATAGTATTGTAATATTCATAATGTTAAGAAGTGAAGTCAAAAAATGACATTTTATCTAAGCTTAAATCACAAATTTACCGCATTATAAATACAATGAAAAAATTTGTAAATTAATCAGTAAACAGGAAAATATTGGATAATTCAATATACTTATTGATTATAATGTGAATAATGAACAATGTCAAAATAAAAGTTGCACTTATCAAATAAGTAATATCAATAGTTGAGATCATGATTCAATTGAAGCTAGACAACCATGGAAAACCTGGAAGCATTGGATGGCCGTTTTGCCCTATTGTGGGACTCCTCAGCAATGCGCATCGACGACCTCGCCCCACGAGATTCGAACTCAGTATTTGTCGGTCTCGCGCGCAACCGCTTAACCACTAAAACACTGCGCCGGCTGGCATCCAACGGTGTTAATGTCTAACTTCAAATAATCCACGAAATTGATACACACATCCACCATTGTCATCAATGAGTTACTACCTCTCAACTGACTCAGTTGAACTCCACTGGTTACTGTTTCTCACTAGAAATTCAGGAAATGCCTCTTGAAGCCAGTCAGTAGTGAGCATATGTCGATTAGTATCGGAAGAGGAGTTCCACAACAGAACGAAACGGCCGTCCAGTGCTTCCAGGTTTTCCATGTTGGTCTAGCTTCAATTGACTCATGATCGCAACTATCAAAATTTTTACAATCTCCACAAAACTCCTTCTGATACTAAATAAGTAATATATTCATTGATGGATTGTGATTAACAGTATGATAAAGAACAAATGTATCTTCCGATTTCAACACTTGTCAAATGGATGAACCTGAATCTCGGTGTTAATAGTTACGTTGAGATTCGAACTCAAAACACTTTGCTTCAAATAATAATGAGATAATTTAAATCTTTCCTTTCAGTTTCAGCCAAATTTCTCACACATTTCCTCAGGGATTCATACGTTTGTCATATTTACTATAGACCTTTTGTTTTATAGTATACCTATACAGTAGCAATCGGTGTTATGCAGAATAATCTTGTAGGAGACGATAGTTAGTGACCAGAATGGTAAAGTCTCTGATTGTCTTAACGTAATGTAGATTTAGATCCCGTTCTGATGTCGTCAACATTTCAGTTAACATGTTTGTGTTATTTTTGCGTCGTTCGCGCTATATTAGGGGGATAAAATATCTAGAAGATTGTTAATAAATTATCCTTAGAGATTATTTGATACTTATCATACCCCACTCCTGACAATTTACTGATGAATTAATGAATGAATTAATTAATTTTGAACTCAAATACATTCAGCACACAGTTGGCATACATACTTGGTAAATTCCATAAAATTATAGGTTCATATACATTCACTTGACAAGGTATTTTTGTAGGGGCGGAATGTTTCTTTTTGAAACTAATGGGAAACCTTGTCTGAACTCAGTAATCAGTAACGAAATTATATATACGTTGTTTTTCTTAGGCTGCATGATTGTAGATTATGCAAACGTAGTATTTTTAGAAATCTTTTTGATGACGTAAAGTATTTATACAGAAACATGATGGTGTCAGATAGGTGAATAAATTTATATTGAGATACTGAACTAGTGAGCATCAAGTGTCATCCAAATCCATAGAGCCATAATCGTAAAATGCAAAGTAACTTTAAGTTATAATACTTTGGCTTTTATTGTAAAAATCGTAAGAAATTAGAAATGGTTAAGGAAATGGATAGTAATATTTTGCTCTTTGTATTAATACCAAACAAATCGGTTATGCTAACTGGTTAGTAAGCAGTGGTTTAGCTTTAAATGATGATTGGGTTTTACTGATCCAGTTTAAAATTGTGGTCAACAAAATAAATGTCTTCACATTGCTATACATATAACCTTGATGTTGAATTTTTGAGCTAGAAATATTCAAATAGTAATTCTTTATTAAAGCAATGCACATATTCAAGAATTATCACGAACTGATCTAAGCTAGACCGTCATCAGAAAGCCGGAGATATTGGACAGCTATTTCGTCCCACCATGCTATTCCTCATTAGCGGACACCGACGACCCCTCGAACGGCAAACGAACTCAGGGCCACACTCTCGCGCAACATAGCTTAACCCCTAGAACATTAAACTAGAATCCAATGGTATTACTGTCTAACTTCAATCGATTTATGATAATAAGTAACTGTAATTTATTACATGAGGGGAATAATTTTCTCATACCCGACATGGACTGATTTCTACCGTTCACGGTTTCCCACTAGAAACCAAAGAGTTATATTTTAAAGCTATTCGCTGGTAAGTAAGTGGTTATTATTAGTTTCAGAGATTTGTAAAGTTTGTAGACATTTCACAATTTGAGTAACTCGCGCGAGAACAAAAATCCATGGCTCAATTCTTACGTGAGGTGTCACGACTTTTCACTGTTGGTATCCCCATATTACGGTGAAACGGCTGTTCAGGGTTCCCAGGTTTTCAATGGCGGTCTAGCTAATATCAATTTGTGATTCAAACTATAAAAATTCTACAATCTCCAAAAATCACCTATACTGATAATTCGACAAAAATTATGGTTTATATACATATGTGAAACAGTGATAATAATGATAATAAGTTCCTGTTTTATCTGACGAGTAATAATTAAGTGATGCATTCAAAAACTTATTCTACCAGTTTTCAAATACGATCATCAGACTGTCTTGATTTTAAGTTAGTTTTGTCCTTGGTCAATGCTTTTATTATTAAATGCAAATGCATTTAATATTCATATTGTCTCACTTCTATTCTTATGTTCTGATATAATTCAGATTCCTGTACACATTTTTCTCTGAACACTTTTCCTGCATACAGTAAACTTCGAGTTTAAAAACGTAATTATCAAGGAGAAAACATTACAATGATGTTATTTCTAGGTCTATTTCATATATCGTAAAGGTTTGGTAGATTGTAAAATCGGATGAAAAAATGAAAAAATGATGCTCTGCAACTTTCGAATTTTATAAATGATCAGAAATGACAGTCGCGCAGTATCAGCACTTAATTGGATTTTCATTATCAATTGAATCAGTGAAATTCAGAGAGCACAGCACAGATGATACTTTTGTGTTTGACATTCAACTGTGGTTTGTATTTGAAAGTTCATATAAAAGCCAATCATGGATATTTAGATCCCTTGGTAAGCTGAAATTCAGTATTTACAACAAACGAACTTATCAGTCACTACATACAGTAAGTGTTTATTAGTAATGATTGCATAGACGACAGCCGGTTATTGACGGCTTGTTAGGTCCACTACTCACATGGAGTCCTGCTAGAAGTACCACATTAGCTGACTTTAAAGAAGTCGCTCACTAAATAGCCACCATACAAGCCAAAAGTGTTCGGACACTTCTTCACTACCCAGAGTGGTCTTTCAGACAGA